ATGCACCAACACCGTTTAACAAAGTTTTTAGTAAACGTAAACTGATCAACGACCAAGCGTTATTTTATTTCATTTCTTTTTGTTAAGAAACTTAATAATGGAATTCAAAAGCGTAAAAATTATACTGATTCTATTAAACAATTTTGTAAGGGAAGTGCTTGAAAGTTAGATTTGCTTGCAAATGCTTTACGAATGGATGCATGTAGATGTTTTACATTAAGGATCTGCCTTGTAGCGGTAGAAAATAAATTGGAGTGGTCAATGAACGGAACGAGAAACGCATGTTACGCGTCAGGAACATTTAATTTGGTACAGAAAACTAGTCGTTGTCATAGAAAGTCTAAAAAATAATACATTTAGAAGATGATTCGATGTCCAAATTGATGAGAAATTTATGGCTTTTGGAATATTTGACAAATTCGGAGCTTCGAAGACGATTTTACCTCTAGAGACATTCGAGGATTCGTAAAATTTGAGGGAAATTCTGAATTGCGGGATGATTCTGAGGCAGCAGAAACGGTATCAGTCGCTTTGGCATAGTTGGGACTAGAAGAATTTGAAATCTCGTGATCAGCGTTACAAAGCTGCGATAGATCAGCGTTTACAAGAAGGTATCGCAGAAGAATCGGAGTATTTAAAAGCTGAAAAAGAATACTTTTTTATGGTATCAAATTGTAATTACAGAAAGCAAAGACACCGCAAACTTCGCATTGTGTTCGATGTATTATCACATGCTGAAATAAACTGTCTTTGAATGATTGTTTAGAATCAGACATTTCTTTTCATTTGAAACTTGTTTCACTACTTTTAAAATGATATTAATATGCACTTATGGCTTTTGGAAAGTCTAGTTACGGCTCTCGAACATTCCTGAATTCCAACTCTTACTGACATGAAGTTTGGCCGCTTCTGATATAGACAATTCAGAAGGGTAGGATTTAAGATAACTTATTGATTTCTTACGTGCTCCATCATTTGGCACTACACGGAAAGGGAGGGAGGCGCGTTGGAAGACGTATGAGGAGAAACTTGGTCGTACACACGTTACACATTGGTAAAACAACAAAAACGCCATGCAGCCAGCCTATTTGTCTGGAATTAAAACCCAGGCCGGAACTACCCAGGACTTAAAAGAGAAAGGCTAGCTCATACAGCTTTTCCTCCTGAAACAGGCATGGGGGAGTGATGACGTAGCCATGATAACATTGAGCGCGGATATGTAATTCACAACATAGAAATTAACGTTTTAAATTTGAAGAACCAACGTTTAAAATGAGCTGTATGTGAAAGATAGCTATAATTTGGAAGAGACAATGCTACTGCAGAATGCATTTACACTGAACTGCTTCTAAGATAACTATAATAACAGCTATTTAAAATTAATCAAAAAACAACCTTAAATTGGCATGTATGGTTATATATGAAAAAAATTCTGCTAATCTAAGTTTGAGTTTCAGCCTACGATGATTTCAAATCCTGGTGTAGCCCACCAGCGGCCGAGCGGTAAAGTCGCTGAACACTGGTAGTTCGGTCCGAGGTTCGAGTCCCGCGAACGGGCTGGCTGCATGGGTGTTTTCGTGGTTTTCCCCATGTGTAACGTGTATACGAGCCAGTTTCCCTTAGAAAGTCCTCCACGAAGGCATCCCTTCCCTTAGGCAGATAGCCCTAGTGTGCTTTGCCATAATCTCAATAAACCAAACCAAACCCTGGTGTAAGCCAAAAAGAGAATTTATTGAAATTATTACTATTCCTTTTTGGTAAGGCAAAATGTTGGATTATCCCTGAACTCTTAATCCACCAATGACTTTCTTCATCAATTCCAAAACTTGAATCTGTTTTTCATGATGTTCATTTAATACAAATGCTGTTTTAAGTATTTTATCTAAAGGAGGGTATGGCTTGGTACTATTCATAACATACAAAAAAAAAAAAAAAAAAAAAAAAAAAAAAAAAAAAAATGGTCGATTAACTTAAAAGAAGTTAGATGCTTTTTGATTTCCTGTGAGGTGGAGTATACCTTTTGCGGTAATTCTTGAAAATAATGTTTTCGCTGGAGCATTAAATAATTTGGTTCTAATTTGTGACACAATTTAATTTCTCCTGAATCTCTATTTAAAACTTCTTTAATAATATCAACATTTAAAACAGTCCCATCTTCTAAAACAAATCCTTTATCTAAAAAGTGGTTTCTCAGTAATTTGAGGCAGTGCGCTAAATCTGCAAAAACCCATGTTTTTTTCGTTTGCAATACTTGGATTTGGAAACTGAGAATTATTAATCGAAATCTGTAACTCTTTCCACAAAGTACTAGATCCTCCTAAATCAGACACTGTTGCTTTCACTTCTACTCCAGATGATTGAATATGTCTTATGAGTGAAAAAAGATGTTCTTTCTTCATTGGAGTGTTAAAATCAAAAAAATATCGGTTGTTTCCAGTGCGAAATGAGACCTCTGATTAAAACAAACTGCACGTTTTGAAAAGGAGCGAGAATTTGTTCCAGTTTAGAGTCATATCAGAGTTTAGAATCTATATGCATTTCGTCGAAACTGAGAACGCATATTTTTTCTACAGAATTCAAATATTCGCATCTTTCCTTCATTACAGCAAGAACATCACTCTGAATTCCTGGACTACATGAAAATTTAGTGCACCATCTCTTTAATGTACTAGTGCTAGGTAAAGGAATTCCTATTTTTTCTTTCCAATAATCGTAGCTTTTAGATGACAGAGCTCTTATGATAATGCAACGTGAAATATCTTCACTAGTCCACCTGATTTTTTCCTTCTTTTCTAGCAATGCGTTAATCTGCGTCTTTGTAAAAATATGCTTTAGACGTTTTTCCAAATTTTCCGATCTGTGCTGTTTTTTTCCTAAATTTCGCTATTTATGATTTTAATTTCTGAATTTGCGATACAAATTTCTTTGTAGATGTCGTCCACTTTGTTTGTCTCTGAGCAAACATTCTAAAATTTTTCTTTTCTCTATTTTTCAATATTTTATTGCAATTTTCTAAGGATATTATTTTGTTCTTCAAATTATCAATACAGTCTCGCTTATCTTTACACTTAGGGCATTCAGGGATAGTGTCACTTACGGCATTTTCATTTGTGAGTTTTATTTTAAAATCATTCACATTTGATATATTATTGTCAGCTTCAATTTCGTTCTCGGCCTCAAAATAAATTTACTTTGGGTTTAATTCGTGTAGTCTTTCAAAAGCACTCTGCATTAGTTTTCTTTTCAAATGTCTTTTATTTCTTGGTGTTATTTCGTTTACTGCACACGATATATTTACTTTCGTCACAGCATTGCATTTCAACACTTTCCTTTGTGGCAGTCCAAGCAAGCGGTTTCTCATGTCATCTTCATAATCACTTCATAAAAAATGTTCGCTGCAAATTCTTGCGTTTTTCACATTAATAGAATCCTGTCTTCGACATTTATGTATCCATTCTTTCGTCAAAAGCAAATTGTCCTTTGGGAAAGCATGAAGTACAATATCTCTTCCTTTCATATTTGGAAGTTACGGCACGTTGTTAAGTGTTACGGCACGTGGCTACAGCAGAAGAAGCCATTTTACATAAAGGATACTTTAAATATAGAATTTAAAAGGGAAACTGACTAAAACTATATATACAGTAAGACCCCGCTTCACGCTGTTTCGGTTTAGCGCTCTTTTATTTCAACCCGGGGATTCTCCGAAATTGTGCGCAGCGCTAGGTTTCCAAATAACATATCCGAAACAGTGTAGTTGTGTTTCTTGCTTGGTGGACGCATTTTTATCATTTGAAACATTTGTTGACATTATTGTAAGTATAAATTTATATAATACTATAACGATTAATACAGTGACAAATATTATGATATTTAGTTTTTATCATGGGTGATAATAAAAAACAAGAAAAGAAAGCAACCAGAAAAAGCATTTCACTGGAAACTCAAATGCTAGTGATTAGAAGATTAGATTCTGGTGAACGTCAATCTCAAATTAGTGCTGCATTGATTTGGCAACTTCAACAATAAGGACAATTCTTAAGAAATAAGAAAAAAAATACTGTCATCGGCAACAGCAACTAACGTCAAGCTCTGCAACTAGAATTACCCGTTCTAGAAATAACATTATAGAGGAAATGGAAAAACGACTGTCTATATGGATTGACGACGAAATTGAACGCAATATGCCATTAAGCCAATCTATCATAATGCCTTCTTAACAAAAAGGCAGAAAAGGAAAAATTGGAAACCCAGAAGAATAGACTGAATGATCTGACTGAGAATTTTATTTGTTTTTAAAAGTATATGCGTTTTATATTGTTTTTATTTTTGTAAGAAATAAATGTTTGATTTTATTTTTATTAAAAAAACATTATTAAATTTAATGTCTAACCATTTTTTATCCGTCTTCCCCTAACCCCATTATTTACATGTTAAGATAGCCTCGCTTAGCGCTGTTTCGCATTACGCTCTACTTCGATGGAACGTATCCCCCGCGTTAAGCGGGGTCTTACTGTATATAAACATATTATTTTAAATACTATTTGCATTATTAGAAAACAAATATGTATGATTAAAATTAATTTGGGATATGCGACCTCCAGAAATTCGTCTCGCAAGTGAATGAAACTACATTTTTAAACACGGGAAATCGGAACAGGTGCATCCCAGTGATGTCAAGTTACTACCGGTTAAGACCCCCCGTTAGGCTCGCGTCGGAGAGGAGTCGAACAAAGGAATGAACTAGTCCTTTCTATTTATCCCTGGGAACTACCTGTGTTCAGTGGCTTTTACCGCCCGACCGCTGGCCCCCCATGACACAGTCCTGCAGAAAATCATCGCTTCCCGTAGGTAGATAGCCCTAGTGTGCGTTGCCAAGAAAATTTTATTTTTTAGTGCTTAATTTTGTAAATAATTTTTACTGTTGAATATAGAACACATATATTGAATTTCAAAATTGGAATAAACAGTGTAATTTCTTGAACTATAAAGAGGAGGAAGAATAGCTTGGTAAATTTTTTATTTCACGTATATATTGGCATAAATCATATTTTTGGTCATAAAAAAGCCTTTCGTATATTTTTCAATAAAAACAAACAGTTACAACAAGCAGAACATAACACTGTTAAATTAATATACACACGAGAATAAGTTCATTTTTATCTTACAATAATGCAGCTGCGTAACCTTGTAAATACCGGAAACCCTTATCGAGATACTGACTAAAGTTAAGAAATTTTCAGTTTGTTGAATTTAGTATCATAGTGCCCCTTACTGACTTAATGACTAATATAAACTTCGAGAAGTTTTAACCAGTAATATATAAATTAAAATAAATTTTGCAAACCAAAGTTATTAGAAAAGTAATAGTTCAAAATAATGTCTCAAAATGTGTGTTATTTTTATCACGTGCGTGTTGTTCTAATCTACCCCCATTTCCAAATAAGCTCATAAAAAGTATGCTGTTCATAGAACGGTATTACAAATTACACAGCTGCAAACTTACAGTGAGCATTTAAAATCCTAATATTGTTGATTATACCGAGACCTAGGAACTGCACCTGCGGCGTACTGTTGCTGTGCACCTGCGGCGTACTGTTGCTGATGAGGAGCAACAGCTTGATACTGTTGCTGAGCATAGGCTCTCTGTGCTTGCAAAGCTTGTGCTTGGTGTGCTCTTTCTTGTTCAGCTCCATAGCCATATAACGCAACTTGTGGGGCTTGTTGATATGGGACTGGTCTTGGAGCTGCTTGTGCCTGATGGGCTACGGGCCTAGCAGCTACTTGTTGCTGATAGGCAGCTGGTCTGTGAGCTGGTTGTTGTTGCTGGTAGGCAGGCCTGTGCTGGGCGGCATAGACTTGTTGCTGGGGTGGACTATAAGGAGCTGGCTGTTGTGGTCGGTGAACTGGTGCTGCTTGTTGTTGATGGCTCACAGCAGGTGCTTGTTCTCTGTAAGCAGGTCCCAATCCGTAAGTTGCTGCAGGGGGTTCTCTTTGGCTTGTTTGGGCTTCTTGAGGAGGAATAAAGGGATCTCCTACAGCATAGTTTTCAGGATAATATCTTTGATGGTACTGGATAGTATTGTTTGGTCCACGCTGTTCCAAAGGCTAATATTAAAAAAAAAATATATACACTATTAGTTTTAGTTGAGATAAATACTTTCAGAATTTAACTCACCCAGTCATATTACTCTACGTTTTTGATGTTATATTTTGTAAAGATTCAAAATAATTGTAAAGCTACAAAATAAATGTGTTTCAAGATAAAGATTAAACTTTTACCTTATTGAGATAATCATTTACAAAATAGAACTTGTTGGCTTTAGAGCAAATATCTTGATCATTTGGCACGCAGTTGAGGTGAACCTGGTGGAAAACAGTTCCCTCTGGACAATGCATCGAATGTTTTTGGCCTGATACACAGTAATGGAATGCCTGGCAACCAACATCACTGTCTGCATAATAGCCATCAGATTTGCCCGCACAATCAAATTTGGACTTTTCTAAAAGCAACTGTAGAGGATGGGGTCCTTCATCTTTCTCTTCTTCGTCCTATGAGTTTAAAGGGAAAAAAGTTATGAACTCTTAGAATAAAATCGAAACTAATATTTCAAAGGTATTAGACAGCACAGATGATTGACATTTGCTACAGAAACGATGGTAATGGTTTACGAATTTGATCAAAGTTCTTTTGATGCTTGGATTACTTACGAGAAGAACACTGCGCGTAGCATGCTTCAGTAACCTTAATGCAACTTACTAGGGCACTTCAAGAGTTAAAAAAATCCGATGTGTACACCACATGACTTTTTTGTACGGAATATTAAATTATACGCATTTTTTCTTGCATCTCATTTAAACTTATTGGATTGAATTAAAGCTACTTCGTCGATAGCACATAAACCACAATAGAATAAATGCACTCTTTAAAATTCACTATATTTGTTTATTTACCATAGCGACTCTCTGGCGCTAGGTGCACTTAACAGCGTTATATTTCGTTCATATTATAACACAGAATGCACAAAATTTGTATCACTTGAAGAATTATCTAATCGTTGTCACATGTTCTATTAAAATACTATCATAAATCTAGAACGATGTATAAAAGAAATTAAGCAAGCAAAACAAAATAGAAACAGTTTTTCACAGCCGATAGAATTTCTCATTCAATTAATTCAGTTCTCACTTCGCGACAAGGCAAAAATACATAAAAACTCAAAATATCTATATTAAAAATTAAAGTAAATCTTAAACACTTATTTCCTCGAAAAAATTCCAGAAAGGATTAAGCATGATTTAATTCGCATTAATAAATGAAGGCGTTATCTTTGTTGTTGCGAAGCTTAGTCTCTCTAGATTGGCAACAAATCTACTATTCTGCTGTTTTCAAATGTAAACAAATATGTCCGCCAAGTTATTTAAAAATTAGGCTTAACCGCACTTAAACAGCTTTTAAATTCTTGATAATTGTACAAATATTGCTTGCAGATTTACTAAAAGTATAAAACCTTAACCGGGAAATAAGAACACCATAAATCAGTCATTTTTTTAAAGCAAAAAAATGTACAATTTACAAACATATAAGAGTACAGAAACTGAGATCACTGAGCCGGGTAACAGAGTGGATATATATGTATATACTGCTATAACACTGCAATATATATATTGCAATGTTATAGCAGTCTTATATACAAGATTTCAACGTTCTGAGGCTACTCGTTTTTGAGTTATTCGAGATACATACGTAGAGACACCACAAAAAATTCTCTTCAGAATTCATTTTAAAGCAGTTTTATATTTCTTTTGGAGAAAGTCTTTTATTCTGTCCTTACGTACACATGTCACGCATAAACATCGTTAAATTGCATTCAATAGCGTCAAAATGGATATTTTCTTTGAAATATGCTGCCTGAAATTTTTCGCGATTACAATACTTCCTTTTTACTTCGTACAAGGAAGTAAAAATGCATTGAGAATAATATTTTTTCAAAGAAACAAAATGCAATTTAACATTTATTATTTCTAAAAATATTTAACAAAACGTTTAATAATGCACCATTTGCCTGATTTCGATTGACATATAATAAATATTCTATAGACTCAAAATATTGCAATCAGGTAATCAAGTCTAATTTTAGGTCTTTTGAACAACTAAACAAATATTTTTTTTTACTTCCTTGTACGAAGTAAACGACAAATTTTGCGTGGTGTTAATTTTGAATGAAAGAACTTAGTACATTTCAAGACTTTTATGTCATTTTAGCATACTTTTATTTTACCAAGATAGTATTCTTGAAGAAGAAAGAGCGTTTGTCCGTTGAAATTTTCCAGATATTATCAAATGTTGTGTAACCATAGAAATATTTCTGTCTTGTGAGGTGTAAATGATAGATATATCAGATATTTTCGAAAGATGCTCCTAAATTATTAAGGATTTACAATATTTTTTTGTATATGATAATTATATTATACTACTATTAAGTTAAAGAGTCATATAGTAAAAATTATATAGTTATATAAATAAATTATAAAGAATTATTATACAGTTAATATAATGTTATAATAATATTCTTAGTATTTACTTCGTAATGAATTTATTAACTCTCAGCGTTTTAGATAGTTAGACAAATAATCGTAATCGTAAAATATTATTATACAATTATTATAAAGTTAAAATAATAATAATAAATCTTTTTAATGTTTCATTTCGTACTGAATTTATTAACTCAGCATTATTGATAGTTATATAAATAAATCATAAAAATTACTGTACAGTTATTATATAGTGATAATAATAATAATAATAAATCTTTTTAATGTTTTATTTCGTACCGAGTTTATTAACTCAGAATTATTGATTTTCCTGAATAAAATTAATTACAAGTTCCTGTCTCAAGTGTCTTCATTGTACCGTGTGTATCTAATTATCAACTGCTACATAAATTCTAAGAAATATAAAAGAGGAAAATATTTGCTCTTTCATATTTTCATGTAAGAGAGGAATATTTACAAACTTGCTTTTTCAGCATTATTTTGCGAATACCTGATTAAATTGAATTCAGTTGGGGAGGAGGGAAAGAATAAATAATAATGGCCATGTAAAATAACAACTAAATAACGAAGACAATATGCTTTCTCGAAGAGGGCAAATACGCTATTGTTAGTACTGTTTGGAAAGCCACAGAATCGAAGTCGCGCAATCAGTATCTTTGTTGATTCGAAAAGATATCCTTGGTATATTCGATAACTTTGAATAAACTTTTCCTTGACTTCCTTACTGCACTCGCATTCTAAAACACAATAGAACTAGGAGGCATGTACTGTTTTGCGAAGGAAGTAAAGAAAAAAAAAAAAAAAAAAAAAAAAAAGGTTAACTATTAAACTTCGAGCAACGGAAGAACACGTTAAGATATGAATACCAATATAATAACCTCATCTACCAATGCAGAAAAATCGTAAGGAATTGCATCATGTGTTGTTGCTGCTACATCTTGAGCAGGCAGTAAAATTTTTTGTCTCCAATGCTGTAAAAATGTCATCTAAATTTCCTTAATATAGATAGAATTAAAAACTTGCCGATCAGACAAAATGGACTTCTAACGATAATTAGTTAATTAATTAAGTTACAAATTCTTTCAAGTATTAATTTACTTATTTGGAATCATTTAGATTAGCGTTTCTCAAAGTATGGTCCTCGAAGCCTGTCCTTCTAATTCTCCTAAATAAATAAATAAAAGATAAACTGCGGATATCACACTGTAGCTGAAAATCTCAGAGTTTTGAAATTTTGCATGGCAATCGTTTGTCACTTTTTCTTCCAGGGCTGACATTTTATGTGATTTATTACCGGTTATCCTGTCTATAGAATGCTATCAACGTTTATTTAATTTTTAGAGATGATAAGATAAATGTTATCTAAACCTTGAATTATGAATTATTTACACTGCGACAGTTTTTTTCCCATATTTCGATTCTACGACTCAAATAATGCCAAACTGTCAAATTTTGTAAAAATCGCACGAGTAATTTTTAAAAAATTAGCTTATATAGAACTGTCCTATTTTTTCGCAGTGTACTGGTAGTAACATATGCTAAATCATAGCTTTCTAAGCGGTCAAAAGTAAGGTGGTTTGTAGAACATTTTAATTTATAAATATGGTCCTCACTTGAAAAACGTCTAAGAAACGCTGCTTTAGAGATTGTCTTCTAAACATGTACATGTAATTAAACAATTTACAAATGCATGCAGAGATCTGAATACTAGAATCTCTGTCAAAGATTAAAATGCTCAACCAAGTATGTAGCAGTTTTTATTCTTTATCGATGATATGTTTAAATACAAGAGACTTTCGTTTATTTTTATATTATTAAGGACTTTTAAATTTGCAATATAGTAATCTTTTAAATATATGCCAAGTTTTAAACTCACTTAAAAAGATTCTAATTGCGCTTAAAAATGTACTTATTCAGCAACATTAAAATACTCCAAACGAATCCCATTTTCATTAGATTAAAAAAAAAAAAAAAATAACCGAGGGTGTTTCAATCGTAGGGAGTTTCTGCTTCTTTATCTATGCCAGAAAGTGAATTCTTTAGGCCAGAAATTTGAATATTTACATATTTATAATACAGGCATGTTTGTTTGCCTGCAGTTCGAAAGACAAATGCTTTCTGTTTTGAAAAATGTGATAAACACTGCCTCCAGACAATCCCCAAGGCCACTTTCCTACTTTCACTTCGCATGCTAAGGGAAATCGAAAGCATAAAGAGGGCAACGAAAATAAAATATAACAAGAAAAGAAAAATGGAAATGAAAATAAAATAAAACGGTTGCATTATAAAATAGTAGATCGAAGCGAAACAATGGCGTTCATTCCAGTAGTTATTTCTTTTCGGGACAATGTAACTTCGAAAAAGAATCTGGTTTATCAGATTGTGACGACCCCGATTTTGGTTTTCTCATTAAAATATATTATGTCACGAACTTGTATCTGACATGTTCTTAATTTCTTCCTTAATGCTCGAACAGTTTTCCCCTTGATCACAATCGGTCGGAAAAGTCGCTTTTCTTCCGATTGTTCAATACTTCTAAAGCGCTTTACTTGTGACTTTGGAAGACATATGGGTCATTTCTCACAAGGAAAGCAAACAGAAGTGCTTTGGAGTTAGTTTCTATGAGAGATTTCACTTCCACTTAGATTAATTTATTTTTCTTTTGATCTTTTTGGGAATATGAAGGACGAAATTATTTTTTTTTTAATCTGCCAAAAATTTGGTATCTTTTTTATTGTCGATTTGTAAAGAAATCAATGTGCCTAAGTATAATTAAAAAAATCTGAAAGCTTTTAGATTTCACGTTACTGCCAAAGGGGCGGTTTTTTTTTTAACGTTTTGTTTTTAACCTTTATTTATTCAATACCATGTTCTCCGCAATTAAACCATAAAATTCATTTCAATAGCAATACCGCAAAATAATTTTAGGATGAGCATATCTTAAGATATTTCCGATACACAATCTCGCGTGATGGAGGTTAAAAAGTTTTTTTTTT